TTTTTTTACCTTTACATTTTATGCTGATTTTATCATTAACTGTATTCCCAAAACAAAAAGCAAGGTGTGGTGTCATCAGGTCTCCACTTCTCTGCAACTCTCTGGACTCTGCCCTCTGCCAGGTTATCTGGCTCCCCTCAGGCTGACGAGATAACTGTAGGGGCTCTGAGTATCACATTCTGACCTGATTAAGACCGAAAGGCCACTTGCTACAGGTCTCTTTTGTTAGAGTAAAAATTTTACCCCTTGAAGTCCCTCAGAAGCCCTCCCTGAGTCACTAGCCAGAATTGCAGTACAGTCATTCCCTTGCTGGTAAGAAAGAGGTCAGAGTCCTGCTTGATTAACTTGGACCGGAAATGCTTATAAGGAAGAGATTTGATGTTTTGTAGGCAATCAAGTGTTGCTTCCACATGTTTATACTGCTCTTTATTTCATTTAATTGTATTTTTTTTAATTTAGGTAATGTGGGTATGTTACCAGGCAACACCCATGCTCTTCATTTTAGATATAGAATCTGTTGAGTTCTGGTTGTGACTGGTGAGGATATAGCTTTTTTATATCTCAATGCACTCTTTCTCCCAATAAAACTGTTTCACAAATTTTGGTTATTAAAAAAACATGTTTATGGCCTCGCTGGTGGCGCAGTGGGTTGAGTGCCGCACTGTGAAGCTGTCCACAGCCTCTGCAGCACGGGTTCAATTCCTGGCCGGCCAGGGAGAAACCTACACAGCGCAGCAGACCTCTCCTGTCTCACCCGCTGCTCCCCTCAGCAGTGTATTTCAGTCCGTCTGCCTGTTCTGCTCCCCGCTCTGTCTCTGGTGAATTTTCTCACCTTCCCACGCCTCTGGCTATACCCCAGTTCTTGTATAAATAAATAAATCTTTTAAAATAAAATAAAATATGTATCATGACTGTAATTATTGCTGTTTGATAAGCCAGATTGCATTTTCATTTCATTTTCTTTCTCAACTTTTTATTTTTATTTCATAGTTGCCTGAGCTTTTTTCCCCCTGATAATTTACTTTACTTTGTATGATCTCTTAATCATTTCTTTTAATTCTCACAGATCTGTGAAACAACTATGTTTATCTAAACACTTTTAGTAATCTACCAGTTCCTTATCTTCTTTTCAGATATTCCCCATAATCCTTTCTCCTTCTATTCCCATCTGGACTGGTGCTGTCTAACCTCAGTAGACTGTTGGCTTCTTGGGGCTTCCTTTCTCCTCCTCCTTGCTGGACTCCCAATTTCCTAGATCTTCTTTCTGGATTACCTCCTTACTTTTCTGAAGCTTACATTCTTATGATTGCTCAATTATTTAGTCCCTGGATATCCAAAAATGTTTATATAATAATTAGGTGTCTTGTTTATCGAAAATGAGACACCTAAGAAGTACAAGAAAATTGTCCTATGCACAGTACACAGTAGCTACAAAGAGATCCTCCCTTCTCAGGAACAAGTACAAATTGACTTTTAATTCCTGCTGCCTGTACATTTGAGACTCATTATTCACATTTCTACAATCTAATGGATATAACTTCTCCTATAATTAACCAATTTGCTAGTAGCCACTGAAGAACAAATTACAACTAAACAGCTAATATATCCTGAAAAACAATGGAGAGAGAAAAAAAAACTCTACCCTATATAAGTAATTACTTTACACACCGAAAACTCCTGCTATATTTGAGTTTTCTGAGAAAGTTAAAATCTGAGCTGAATATGGGCAACAAAACACCTCAGTTCTGTCCCTTAAGCAAGGTCATTTACCATGTCTGGAGTCTCATATCTTTTTATACAAATCTTATATAGAAAATCTAACTTGCAATACATTGTGGCTCAATATTAAATGGTAAACAGGAGCGCATATATTTTTATCATTACTAATAACAAGATGTCCTCAGGGAAGTAGCAAGAGTAGAATACACTGAAACTTTGACAACTGAAATTTCCTGTAACACCACAAATCCACTGTAACTAGTAAGTAAATAAATAGAAATGAAGTAACATTGAATAGTGATTCACTTAGAAGATGAGCCAGTCTTACAATTGGGTATCATGTAATAAAAAATTCAAGATGTTTCCTTTAAGGGACTGATTCAATCATTTGGCTTTTAAGGCAGTATTTTCATATTAAAGCAAGTAACATAAGTTCTTTCACCACAGTCATGAAATAAGATACCAGTACTGTTCTACTTAAAGGGATATTAAGAGATCACATCTTGTAAAGCACTTTAAGAATCATTAATTCAAAATGTTAGAAACCAAGTCTCTGACTACTATTATTTGTTTTCAGACAAGAAACAAGTGGTAAAGATGGACGGTGAAGGACAACTCATAGACGGGCATTTGGAATTGGGTTCCTGGCATTTCATACAGAATATGAGAAAATGGATGAGGTAGGAGAAAAAGAAATATCATTTGTATTTCCTCAGCCTAGTCCACTGACATTTGATTCCCTTACACTTCATTTCTCTATAATTCTGCACCTAGTGCATATGTGTGTAATTTTGTATAAAATGTATATATTCCTAAACAGTATATTGTTTTAGATTTGAAATTTATACAAATCATATTGCAGTGTATCTGTTTTTTAATAATCTGAGGGTTTTTTGTTGTTCTATTTTTGACGATCATTACATTTAATATCTGGTAACACAAAATCTCCCACCTTGTTCTTTGAAAATTCTTATATATATTGTCCTTTTTATCTCTCCTCTCTCTCTCTTTCTCTTCTGTGTCTGTCTCTCTCTCTCTCACACACACACACACTCCTTTGGAATTCTGATTGGACGTGCTTTTAATTAATAACTTCATTTGGTAAAAAATGAAATCTTAATGATATTGATCTATTGATCTTCTTTGCCCATTATGTGGGGCATCCTTCAGTCATTCAGGTCATCTTCCATGCCTGTAATAGTGATCTGCTATTTTATAATTGCCTAAAATATCTTAAAAATCCTCTCCTCATTTTAGGACTTTTCCACATTATAATGTGGACTCTATCACTGTCCCAGATAGAATCCAGATAAATTCCGTACACATTTATCCCACTCCCACTGAAGCAGTACACCTTTGCAGAAGATGGCTAGGAAAATCATGAGATCCTACAGTCTCCTACCAAAATGGTTGTGAGGAAACTTGCTTTTCCTCCAGAATATGTAGTGAACACCCTGGTTGTCTAGTTCTACTATCAGTGGGCTGGGGGTGGAGTCTAGTAGCAGGCATCAGCAGCTGCTGAGTTACCTCTGAAATATTTGGTAGTATCAGTGGCCATTTTTCTTGCTTCAGCTTCTGTGGAATCCAGGCGTGGTTCCTCCTTGGAAATTTTGCAAGTTAACTACTAGTATGTAGTAAATCTCTTGTTCACTGTCACAAATATCCGCAACTGAACACTGGCTGACAAAGAATTGGGAAATAGAAGTAGTTATTGAGTATAAAAGGATCATAAAAAGGTGGAACTATCTTAGCAGAAGTGACAGACCATAGAAGATCAGAGATTATAAACTCCAAAATAGATGGGCAAGATGAAATGTCCTACCACTTTGGGCCTGACTTGGCTCCACCCAGGCTAAAGGCACAGCCACTCTCTGGAGTTTATGGTTCTCCTGGCTGAGGGCAGAAACAATCAGCAAAGCCTGAAGACTGAGAAGGCGTTGTTGGGGGTTTAATTAAGCCCCATCCTCGACGTTCACAGATACCTGAACCTCAGTTCCTAACCTAAGGAAGTCCGTGGGAAGTCCGTGCTGTAGGATGGCTGGCCCGCAATATGACTTAGGATTTACCTTTCTCATGTCTGTTTGAAGTGACTCTTTCACCTGGCTTCAAGTTTGTCAGTTTATGCCTTTCCATTTGCATTTTATTGTTTTAGTGGGGTTTTGGGAGGTGTGAACGCTGATATATTAAACCGCCATCTTTTTAAAAACTCTCTTGTATATCTTATTTCTGCTAAGTTCATCTTGGTCTGCTTGTTTGCTTGTCTTCATTCCTAGTGAACTTTTTTGTTTCCCACTATCAAACACCACCCCTCAGCTTTGTGAATTCCAAGCCTTCGAACTTACTTTCAACATTCATGCATTCAGGACTGTAAATATTGCTCTAAGCACCACATTTTGTCACATCCCATAGACCCTGCTAGATCCTGCTCTTACTGTTGTTCAGTTCTGAATCCTCTGCAACATCCACTTTGTGTGCTCTTTAAGTTAAGAGTTATTTCAAAGTGTATTGACTTTGTATTAAGAAAAAGTGTATTAACTGTAATAAAAAAAAAGTAAACTTCCTCATTACTTCAGCTATCAAGCAAGTAAGTAGCAAAAGGAAGCCAATGCCAACACCCACAAGCCTTCTGGCAGTGGTGACCTTAAAAACTCTTCCTACTCCACTTCAGATCACTCTGTATCCCTCTCCCTTTTTCCCCTACAGACCCTATTTCACTTGTTTTTCTTGCTTCTTCTATTGATAAATCAACAGCATCTACTAAACTACTTTTAGAGATCTCTCTCCTGAGGATCTACTGTGAAATAAAGCAGACCCACCCCATGTCCTTTATAAATACCTCCAAAGTAGGCATTTTCTGTTTAAAGCATATCTCTCAAAGTATGGTACATACTATAGGTCTGGGCATAACCATAGATAACCAAAACTAGACTTTCTGGGAGTTAGACCAAAAACTTACTCTTTTACACCACATTCAGTAACATGCTATAAAGTTTAACAACCCCGGGCCTCCCTGGTGGCGCAGTGGTTCAGCCCTGGGTTGCGAAGCTGCCCGCGGCCTCTGCGGCGCCGGTTCGATCCCCGGCTGCTCCCAGGCCACTGGAGGAGGGTCCCACATGGTGCGCAGACCTCTCCTGCCGCCTGCTGCTCCCCTCAGCAGTGTACTTCGGTCCTTCTGCCTGCTCTGCTTCCCGCTCTGGCTCTGGTGAATTCTCTCACCCTCCCGCGCTTCTGACTGTACCCAGTGCATGTATAAACAAAACAAACAAACAAATAAAATAAATAAATAAAAACATGCCTCTATTAAAAAAAAAAAAAAAAGTTTAACAACCCCTACCTTGAAAGCCTTTCTGTTAGCTGGAGAAATAACTAGATAGTAAACACAACTTTAAAGAAAAAATGTCTGGCCTGTCCATCAATGTTGAAGGATTAACTTTAAACAAATGCTAATAATGCATAACTTGGGTTCTTTTTCTTTACATCACCCTTTGCGTAGCTGTAAAAGATCCTCATCAAGGTTAAAAGCAAGAACAATCCAAAACTCCACCTCCCAAGGGTATAATTCAGTGGTAAAGCAAGACACTCATTCAGATTTCCCCCAAGTGCATTTTACGCTGTTGCTCCAATTTCTTTAGTAATTTGCCAGATTCTTGTTAACAATTCATGCTATATGTAGAAAGTAAATTGTAGAATTCAATGCTGATAAATAGAAAACCAGAACGCACACCAAGAAAAAATTTGTACAGTAGATGGAAGAAACATGAATACATTTGTATATATTTACTTAAGAAACCAAAGTTTAAAAGACACATCTAGATATTAAGAGCAAAACTAAAAGGGAAAAAAAAACTTTATGTTTAAAGACAGGCTCACTATCAATCAGGGAAATGATTGCTATTACTGCATACATATTATCTTTCATATGCTCTTTTGCATAGACACGAGTTCCTCAATGATCCATGCCAAGGGCAATGCAACTTCACTTGCATTAGTACAACATTTAGCCCATAAAACAATCAGCACCTAATTCCAAAATCCATTGCTGGAAGCATACTCCCATTACCAAGCCCCACAGGCTTGCAGACCTCCTCCATTTCTCCCAGGCTATTTCTCTCTAATCGCAATGGCCTAATACAGGGATGCTCTCTCTCTGAAACTTTTCTAACACAAAGAAGTGTCCACTTCGTACACCAGCACCCCAACAATGCATATATGACCACTGTTGTTCAAGACTGAAAGAGAATCAATACAAAGGTCAAGTATTTCCATTTCCTACCCAGAAGAAAAGAGAATATATTATATGTATACAGTCTTCAAATGTATTTCTGCTGAAACAGTTGTATCAAACATAAAAGAAATACAAATGAAACTCAAATTGGAGATTTGCTGGGTCTAAGAGCCAAAAAACTACCAAAACAAAGCTCATGATGGGTGAGAAGAAGGGGTCAGAATAATTGGGGATGGCTTTACAGTAGGAGTAAGACTCTGGAAGACCCGTACTATTTGGACAGGTGAAGAGGGTATTCCAGATGTGGGCAGCAGCATGAACAAAGGCCCAGAGGTAGGAATGAACACAGCATGTGGAAAAGTCAATGAAGGCACAGCCAGAGCTGGGGCAGAGCATGGACCCTGGAGAGGAACCAGAGATAAGGCTGAAGAGGGACACTGGGGACTCACTGGGGGTGGCTGAAGCATCTTGACAGGCTTCTTTTCCACAGGGTGCAATTTCTGATGCTGCACAAAACTGCCATACCATTTGAAGGCTTTCCCACACACTTTACATTCATAAGGTTTCTCTCCAGTGTGAACTCTCTGATGATGAATGGAGGCGATCTTCTGAGTGAATGCCTTGCCACACTCCTTACACTGGTAGGGTTTCTCCCCAGTATGAATTCTCTGATGAACAATAAAAAGTGACCTACAACCAAAAGCTTTCCAGCATTCTTTACATTTATAGAGTTTCTCCCCAGTGTGTAGCCTCTGATGCTGAAGATAGGCTGCACTCCTACGGAAAGCTTTTCCACATTCCTTACATTCGTAGGGTTTCTCTCCAGTGTGGATCCTCTGATGCTGAGTCAAGGCTGTGTTGGAACTCAAACCTTTGCCACACTCCTTACATTCATAGGGCCCTTCTCCAATGTGATTTTTCTCATGTACAATACAGTCATAGCTGGACTTGAAAGCTTTGCCACATTCCTTACACTTGAAGGGCTTTTCCCCAGTATGACTCACCTGATGCCTAATTAGTTTTGAGTTATATCTGAAGATTTTTCCACACTCTTTACATTCATAGAACTTCATTCCACCTCGTAGTATCAGATTCGGATTCAGGCTGAAAGTCTGCCATGCTGCCTTGCTTTTATAATCAAAGTGCTGAGAAACGTTTCTGAGGAGCCCTCCTACTGGTATTCTGTGAGATTCTGCTTCTTCAGAGGCTTCCTGCTTCACAGTTGGCGACTCTTTCTTGATCCAGGACTCAACACCTGACCAAAGAAATCACAAGTGGCCTAGTTACTGTCTGGAAAGAAAACAAGATCCAGTAGTCCTAATTTACTTTTATAAGATGTGATTTAAAAAAAAAAAAAAAAAAAATCCCCCAAAATGGCTACAAGTATCCATAAAGAAGAATGAGAAAAAGAAAAATACAATTTAGGATGTTCACCTTACTGGTTTTAAACTTTACAGCGGTGCAAAAGCAATACACATTCAGTAGGAGCCATGCTTCAAATTTTGCATCCTAATCTTTTTTCTAGATTAGTTACATGCAGGTACGAAACTCATAATGCTGGGAGGCAGAGGCCACAGCTCCCAGCCAGCCACCCAATCATAAGAGTAAACAACACATACTCTGTAGTGTACTGTGTTGCCCTTGTTTTTGCCTCAATGCTGTCATAAGTAACCCCATTTTAAGTCAAGGAAGATCTGTAACAACATACACCTGGAGAGGGGACATTGGAAACAGCAGGAAGTGCCTCCTCTAAGGAAGACTGGGAAATGAACAGGCAGGAGAAACAGACAGAAGAAATGGACAGAACAAGAACTCTAAAAACAGGAAGGAAAGAAAGCAACATGGGGGGAAAATGGAGAAAACAGGAGAAAGGAGTGAGAGAAATAAGCAATGGAAAGCAAGAAATTATTATTATTATTTTTTTTTAAAGAACCCAGAAAAGAAAAAAGAAATCAGTGAGACTAGGAGAGCAGATGTGCAGCTCTGGCACTGCACGAAGTCTAGCAGGCCGGAAACACAAATTTGAAAAGAAAAAAAAAGGAGCCTAATGCCCGACCCATAAGCCAGGAAATCACCCCAACTCTAAAAGTATAAGTAATGGTCTAGTAATTCTATTTTTAAATAGTCCACATAATCTTCTGAGATTAAAGATTATTTCCTTTAGAAAGCCAGCTGGAACACAGGCCGAACTGGAGAGCGGCAGGTCACGGTGGTATTGCTGTGAAAAGAACTACTCTTTACAAAATAATAGTACACGTGAGAAGTAAGCGTGAAAACTCTTCCAAAAGCAAAGAAAACCCAAGTAATCAAAAGCTGCCAGGACTGGTGGGCAGTCTCAGGGAAATGCCAGGCTGTGTGTGAGTGTGTTTTGGGCACAGTGGCAAGGGAATATACCCTGCCCTTTTCTCTACAGTCCCATATAGGACAAACACAATGCAGACCTCAAGACTATGGCACACAAACTTTTAGGTGATTTAGACACTAAAAGGCAAATTAAAGGCACTTTTTCATTGTTGAAAGCCTGAAGGTAAAATTCACACCTATGACATATATAAATCATTTGACCCACATAATCATATTTTCCTTGAGGTTTGGTTAAAACCCTACTTCTCTGCAATGAAAGTTGGCATGTTAAAATGCTTCCACTGTAAGTTAGTAAAAGCAGTTTAAGAGCTACTGGGTCACAGGTTTTCTGTGAAAGGACAGTCACATGAATGTGATGCCATGAACAACTAGTGACTGTTCTTTTCAGGCTCAGTGTCAGAAATCAGCTGAAGTCAGTGAGCAGACCAGGTACAGATTTATAAATGAAGAGAGCTTTGTTCTCTGTTATAGATGAACGATTTCTAGCAAACCTGAATGGTAAAACCAGAAACTGCTATATTCTCTTACTCACCTGGACAGACACTTCTCCATATCTCTGCTTCCCAGGGATCAGGGCCCCATGGTGCTTCCCCTTTCTCCAGCTGGGAGATCAATATAGGTTTGGAGAGGGGAAGTGCTACTCCAGCCAACAAAAAAAAAAAAAAAAAAAAGGAAAAGAAAAGAAAAGTTATGGGGACATATCTAAAGTGCTCATGAGCTCTCTCACACCATTCCCGAATAAGCTAGTTGAGAAGAACAGAATGTCAAGGAAACCGAGTGAACCAACCCAGGGTTCTGAGAAAGGACTACAAACTGTACTCTAAGATAGGCCAAGGAGTTTGCACAGAAGAAACTACCACAGTGCTCCCGCTCAGAAGAAAAGAAATCTGTTCAGGAAGAACACTGTACTGGTATCTTGGGAGATTCCTCCACAGAGCTGAGGGCCCAAACCCCAGAACAATGGAAGGAAGTAGGAACAAAAGATGCACCTAAGCACACCAGAAAGTCCTCTCCCTCAGGTCCAGGACCATGCCATTCCCTGGGATGTAAGGAAGTAGCTTTCAAAACCAAAGAAAGTCACATGTTTTCCCACCCCGTTATCTCCAGAGGCCAGTGATTACAGAACTCCCCTCTGGAGTCATCAAACCCAGGAACTGTTAGAATTCCTCAAAATATCTGAGGAAGAGGTCAAATTGTCAAAAGGGCCACTAGGAGAGACTTACCCAGGGAAGCCACATTTGCATAATTCTCCAGCATCACCTCACTGTACAGGGTCCTTTGTGCGGAGTCCAGGAAGGCCCACTGATTCTGGGTAAAGTACACAGCCACATCCTCAAAGGTCACTGACTCCTGAAACAACAGGTTTCTGCTCAAGCTCTGAACAAAGGACAGAGGGACAGCATGAACCTCGGGGAAGACACAGACCTGCCAGGGCCTGCAATACTGAGCCTAATGAAGGTCTGCTCTACTGACAAGAGCACTCAGTTCCCAGCCCTCCAGCCAGTGTTCCCAATTCCAAATGGAAAAGCCCAATGCTCCCCTATCTGCACAGCTCTGGAGCTCCGAACTGTCAACCCAATCTCACAGTCTGGCATCTGGTACTCTGCATGCTAACTGCTTCAACCCCTATGTTCCTGCCTCCTTGGGCCTGGCAGCTCCTACCATCATGTACTTCACAATCCCACCACCTTATTATCTATGTACAAACCACTGCAGCAGTTGCCTCCTGACCCTGTCTCCACCCAGCCCAAGTATACATATGGAGCCTCACTTGCTCCCCACACCTAGCCTCTCCTTGATCTTCCCAACACTTCCGCTCTATGCAGAGGAGCTGTTCCCCAGAAATACCCCCAGGATTTGTAAATTTCTTTTTATACTTTCTTACTCATCAGAAAGCTGGCTGTCTCTCTCTCTCTCTCTTTTTTTAAAGATTTTATTTATTTATGCATACAAGAGCTGGGGTACAGGCCAGAGATGCGAGGGGTAAAAGGATTCACCAGAGACAGAGTGGGGAACAGATCAGGCAGACTAACTGAAATATACTGCTGAGGGGAGCAGCAGGAAACAGGAGAGGTCTGCTGCGCCATGTGGTTTCTCTCTGGCTGGCTGGGATAGAACTCATGCATACAGAGGCTGAGGATTGCTTCATGGTGAGGTGCTTAACCCCTTGCGCCACCAGGAAGGCCCTGGCTGGTTCTCTTAAAGGAAACCTGCAACCTGCATGTTCCAACCTCTGCCCTGAGCCACCTATCTTCCGAGAAGGTTGGCATTGCCCTGTCTGGGCACAGATACATTACCTAGTCTTGAGCCCCATGTGTGACCCTCTGGGCCTCCCCATGGGGCCAACTCCAAGAGTAAAGGGAACTAATACTTATAGTTCCCTTACTTAGGTTCCATGCACACAGCCACAAAGTGGCAGACCTGGGATTTCAACCTCTATCTGTCAAACAGCACACCTGGGCTGTTCCCACATACTAAACTACCTCCCACTCCAGGCTTATGAACTCTAAAATGATAGCTAATGCCTCATCATAACCTGGTGCTGTTCCCTCTGTAGAGAACAGCTTCTCAAATTCCCAGCTCCCTAAATCACCTGTTAGTCCATCTTTACCATGCTCCCTCCAGATCACATGGGCTCCGTCCCCCACTTTGGATGGAGGGATCAGCTATTTCAAAATCACAACCCCCTGGGAGCCAGACCCTCTGAATCTTCAATGCAATGTGACAGGCCCCCAAACAGTCCCTAATGGTATCTACTGGCTTCTTCCTCGGCTCCTGGTTGGAACAGTTCAGACCACAGAGACGGGTTCTTGCCTTGGAAGGGGTGTCATGCATCTTCTCATGCTTAAGTCCCCACTGATGACTGCACCTCCTAGGAGATTCTCACTATCCTATATAGTCAGTTTTGTTCTGTCAGCCAATAAAAATGAAAACACTGAACAACAGGGCTCAGAAAAACCCCTAAGTCATATCTCCCAGTAGCCCGGACCACAGCCTTTCCACCAGACCAAGCACAAGTGACAAGGAGAAAGCAATGGTCCTCCAGCCTCGTTGGGAGGAAACATGCCCCAAAGACAAATTCTGGCACCTCCAACGGCTCAAACAGCAGTCATACTGGCTCTACACTCAGGTCTTTACGAGAGGGTCCTTTTAACACAAGAACTATTAGGAAACTCAGCTCAAAAGGAGGCACTGGAAAAAAAAAAATATTTGAACACTCTACAGAGGGAGAGCTGGCCCTTAAAGTGGGTAATGATAAGGTCCAAAGGGCGCCGCCTAAATAGTCCAAGCCAAAAATCTAAACACCAGGTGTACCCTGATGTCCTGTGACTAATCACTGCTACAATAAGGCATTAAGGACTTCTGAGGACAGCAAGCACAAGCTCACAAGGAAACCAAAATTCATCTTTGCTTACAAGGCAAACTTCACTCCCTAACATCTCCAGAGTTATCCTCACGACTGTCTCTTCCGAGTCTAGCACCATCAACTTCTCCCAAATTGCTCTTCCCATCTGCTTATTTATCCCCAGTGTTTCATGGGTATGGGGGAGGGGGGAAGCATACTGTTACAGATAATCTTATTGTATTAAGGCAGCTGGGTTGTAAATATTTTCTTTCCTTCTTATGGATAGTTTCTATGTACCTCACCTTATTTTTCTCCACAGTATTTTTCACCATCCAACAAATTATATTGTTTATTGCCTTTTTCCCCTGACCATCAGAAAGTAAGTCCATAAGGAAAAGATTCTGTTTATGCTCATTATTGGTTTACTAGTACAGAGTACACTACACTATCTAGCAGATACTAGATGTATAAAATTGCTGAAAGAATTAATCTCAAAAATAGTGTGATCATAAATAAATTTTTTTAAGTTATGAAAAAGCTCAGAAAATCACAACAACTTATCAGTAAAATGCCAGAGCATCGTCACTAAAGTTGGTGGGTGATAATTTACCATTAGGTGAGATTCTATTTTCTGTGGAAGACTGGAAAGGAGCATAAATACAGGAAAGGCATGAACATAAAAACATAGAGTAGAATGTATACAAAAATAGCTTAGAGGGCCTCCCTAGTGGCGCAGGGGGTTAAGAAGCAACCTATGAATCTATCGGCAGCCACTGCAGCTAGAGTTCAATCCCCAGCCAGGGAGACACCCACATGGTGCAGCAGACCTCTCCTGACTCACCCAATGCTCCCCTCAGCAGTGTATTTCAGTCAATCCAGCTGTTCCGTTCCCCACTCTGTCTCTGGTGAGTCCTCTCACCCCCCCACACCTCTGGCCTGTACTCCAGTTCTTATATGCATAAATAAATATTTTTAAAAAATAGCTCAGAATATACCTAACAAAGATATGTACAATCAAGATGAAGAAAAATTAATGTCTAGTAAAATAACTAAAAGAACTGAGTAAATTGGAACATAACATTGTTTCTAAATAGGAAGAATCAAATTTGTGAACAAGTTAATAATCTCTAATTTTGACTATGAATCCAATTAAATCCACTCCTCCACCAAAAAAAGAAAAAAAAAAATGAGGTCTGTGGAGAGGTAGTGAATCAAGTCATCTGCAAAAATTAACTGTGAAAGACTATCCAAGAACATTGTAAAGAAAAAAACATTTTTTTAAAGATTTATTTATTTATGCATACAGGAACTGGGGTGTAAGGCAGAGGTGCAGGGTGGGGGGACGGTGAGAGGATTCACCAGAGAGAATGGGGAGCAGAACAGGAGGATCTACTGAAATACACTGCTGAGGGGAGCCACGGTGAGGCAGGAGAGGTCTGCTGCACCATGTGGGTTACTCCCTGGCCAGCCAGGGATCGAACTCGTGCTGCAGGGGCTGGCAATAGCTTGACAGCACTGTCTTTAACCCCTTTGCCACCAGGGAGGCCCAAGAAAAAAAAATTTTTGAAAGTAAAGATGAGGGGGAATTAGACCATACTTTAAAAAGACCGTACTTCAAGAAAATGAGAAGGCAAGCCACAGATAGAAATATCTGAAAAGACATATCTGCTCAAGGACTATTATCTAAGATATGCAAAGAACTCTTAAAATAATAAGAAAATCAACACAGCAATTAAAAAATGAGCAAAAGACTTATGAAAATACAAAGATGGCAAAATAGGCACATGAAAAGATGTTCAACATCATGTCATGAGGGAATTGCAAATTAAACAATGACAGCACTGGACACCTATCAGAAAAACACAAAATCCAAGACACTGACAATGCCAAATGCCGGCAAAGATGTGGAGCAACAACAACTTTCATTCATTGCTGATGGGAATGCAAAATGGTACAGTCACTTTACAGCTACATGATCATCTGTCAGTTTCTTACAAAACTAAACTTACTCTTAATATATGATTGAGCAACAATGCTCCTTGGTATATTCCCAAATAAGTTGAAAACTTACGTCCACACAAAAACCTGCACACAGATGTTTATAGCAGTATTATTGATAATTGCCAAAACTTGGAAGCAACCAAAGATGTCCTTCAGTAGGTGAATGGATAAAGTGTGCTACATTCAGATGATGGACTGTTGTTCAGTTCTAATAATAAAAAATTATTATTTATAGTAGTGTTATTCATCACTGTCAAGTCATGAAAAGACAAGAAGGATTCTTAAATGCATATTACTAAGTGAAAGAAGTCAATCTTTTCAGATTCCAATTACATGAAATTCTGGAAAAGGCAAAGCTATGAAAACAATAAAAAGATCAAAGGTTGACAGGGAGGGAGGAATGAACAGGCACAGCACTGAGTAAACTCAGTATGATTAAAAGACTCTGTATGATACTATGATAATACAGTTTATCTACAATAATGGATACACATTGTTATAATTTTGTAACTGATAGAATATGTAACACCAAGAATGACTCATCATGCAAACTAGGATGCAAACTTTGGATGAATATGTGTCAATGTCATTTCATCAATTGCAACTAATGTACCACTCCAGCAGGGAATGTTGGTAATAGTGCAGAGGTCCTGCATATGTGGGAGGACAACATAAGGGAATTATGTGCTTTCTATTCATTTTGCTATGAATCTAAACTCATTGTAAAAAAATATAGTGTATATAAACATACCCAAAAAAGGATAACATTTAATCTTACTTCGACTGCATTGCAACTCACCTGTAAGAACTGGAGATCCTTTTTAATATATAAATCCAACATGTCACAAAAACACACACCCCTGGGCCTCCATGGTGGCGCAGCGGTTGAGCACTGGGCTGCGAAGCTGCCCGCAGCCTCTGCAGCGCCGGTTCGATCCCCGGCCACCAGGCGAGGGTCCCACATGGCGCGCAGACCTCTCCTGCCGCCCGCTGCTCCCCTCAGCAGTGTACTCCATCCGTCTGCCTGCTCTGCTCCCCGCTCTGGCTCTGGTGAATTCTCTCACCCTCCCGCGCTTCTGATGTACCCAGTGCTTGCATAAATAAATAAATAAATAAATAAATAAATAAATAAATAAATAAATAAATAAATAAATAAATCTTTAAAAAAAAAAAAAAAACACACCCCTGCTGAAATCCTATAGTGCCTTCTCACTGAACCCAGAACAGAAACCAAAGTGTTCAGTGACCCACATGCGCCAACTTTCCCACCCCACAATGAACACTTTTCTCTATCTCCCCGCTTCTAGAGCACACTCAACTTTCTTTCCTACTTCAGCATCTTTGCATCTGCTCTCTTCTGTGAAAGATTCTTCTTAATTCTCTGTTCAGTAAATCCCAGGATTGTTTCTATTTCATCCTTGAGGTCTCAACTCTCATGTAACCACCTCCATGAGGACTCCCCTGACCTTTGGAGGCAGTTTCTTCAGGGCTTTTCAAATTTGACAAGGTAGATAAGAATTACCTGAAAGGCTTATGATTAAGGTCATGCCTCTGACCTTAGTGACCCTCCTACCCAGTCTGGTTTTGAGTCTAAGGGTGGGACTCAAGAATTTGTAATTCTAATGCTGATGCTGCCCATCTGTGAGTCACTTTTGAGAAGCACTACTTCTTCAACAAATAAATATGGTATTGACTCATTTCTTTATAGACTGTCTATCTTGCTCAAAATACCTTCCACAAGAAAAGGGAACCTATTTGTATTATTCAATACTATGTACCTAGGACTTAGAATGTCCACACAAAACAATGCCAGTCTCTCTGGACTCCATCCACAATTTGGAGGGCAATCTCTGATTTCAGACTTTCATTTGTAGAATATGATCTGGATTTCCACATTCAGGGAGGATTCTTGGCTTGGATACCCCTTTCCCCATGTAAACCTACACATCCAAGCTCACCATTCTCTACAAACAACACTGATTCCTCTAGGGTGCATTTACAGCCACAGTCCTCCAGATTGATTCAAAGGGTAAACCACAGGGCCTCCCCTGTGGCATCGCGGGTTAAGCACCCTGCTGCGAAGCTGTCCGCAGCCTCTGTAGCGCTGGTTCAATTCCCCACCAGTCAGGGAGCTACCCACATGGTGTGGCAGACCTCTCCTGCCTTGCCCATTACTCCCCTCGGCAGTGCCTTTGGTCCATCTGCCTGTTCTGCTCCCTGCTCTGTCTCTGGTGTATTCTCTCACCCTCCCACACTTCTGGCCTGTACCCCAGTTCTTGTATTAAAAAAAAAAAAAAAAAAAAAAAAAAGGGGAAACCACAGATTGGCAAAGTTAGGTCTGAGTGATCCTTTCCCAATAACGTGGCAGCTAATCAGCTAATGTGATTTTTTTCTTAAAGACTGAATGGAAGCTCAGCTCACCTGAGGCAAAGTTGTTTGGTGCATGGCTGATGTCCCCTGGTTTCAGGCACTGTCTTCTGAGATTGGAAAAGCAAGGACCTTAGAAACTAGGAGAAGAAGAGCCATAAGTGCAATGGATCTTGTCCTGCTCTTAGCCCCCTGTGGCCTTCCCATTTTCACTTTCAGCACAGCAAGGAGACTCGCTCAGGGCCCTACCTCCTCATGAATTGCTGTGCCTGATCCTCAGGACAATCCTCCATCTGCCTGTTCAGTTCAAGAACGTTCCCGAACCCCTTCCACACGGAGCAAACTGAGGGATCCAAGAGAGGGATCCTGTCCCTACAGTGATGGAAATGAACGAACCTAAAAAAGTATTCACAGAATGGTCACAGGTGCCAAGGTCACAGGTCACCGGCCTAAGGAAGGTGCCTATGGAGAGGCGAGACAGAGGCGGCCGCACGTGAATTAAGGGGAAAATACCGGGTCTTGCGCTGGGTGACGCTGGGAGCGTCTCCACCCAGGCGAACAGGGAACCCCAAACACCAAAAACGTCAGTACCAGGCACGGGGGGCTGTTGAGCCAGTTTCTTTAGGCCAGAAAGGCGGCTGGCGCCCCCGCGGGCGGGGGGCCGGGCCGGGCTCCAGAGGGCCGCGCAGTACCTGGGGCGGCGCCCGCGAGGCCGGGAGGCCGGCGCTGCGGGCCGGGAAGTGGCGGGCCGCCGTGTGAACCAAATTCAGGGGAAGGGGCGCTGACAAGGCGCCAGGGTAGCGAGGAATCCCGCACTGTGCGGACCTGGCACGCAGAACTCGCTGGGACACAAAGTTCTTCCTCCGACCCCCGAGAAATCCGAGCTAAAAGCCGGAAGGGAAACAGGCGCGCCGGCCGAGCGCCCCTCTAGGCCTCCCGGAGGCTGCCCGTCTCGGTGGTCCCCCGGCCCCGCCCCGCGTGGCTCCGGCTGCCTGAGACCCGGGCTGGCGCCTGCCTGCGTGATCCCACTCGAGCGCGGGGCTGCTGCTCGTGTTGCTCCAGGTGCAACCGGTGGCACAGCCGCGGGTTGGGGTGGGGTGGCCCTGATGCGCCCCAGTTGTACTCAGCCCTCGGCCCAGATGAGGCCCCAGTTAACCGATGGCCCTGTCAGCGGCCACCTGGGTCACTGGCGCCTGGGCTGTGCAGGCTCAGGGACCCCGTTTAGATGCTAGGCTGAGCAGTACTTAGGAAATCATGGTTTCCATCTGCCCTTTTCAAGTCCTTCAGCTTCCTAGGACCTAGCGGTGTGGGAGGTGTTTTTAGGGCACACCTTTTCGGTAACCAACTAAAATCGCCAGGCATCCTAGATAAAAAGGACAAGTCAGAACCTTGGTTTTTCCCTATGTAGAGTGGGAATAACGATGACACTGGATCAATGTTGGATGTGAGGCTTAAATGAGATATATGTAAAGCACCTTTCACAGAGGAGGCCTCAAATAAATACTAAGTATTTTAAAAGCCTGTCGATGCCCTCCTTGCAGACCTACTTTATGGTATTATAATAGTATACATATCACTTTCCTAGCACTGCCTTCCCAAGTTATTACTTAAAGTACCTCTTTTTTCCATGCTGCGGGGCTGTCCTGAAGCAGTGATTCTGAGAACGGTCAAGGTCTCTAGCCACTAGATGGAAAGTATGGAAAATCAGTGACAAATGAACACTTGGCAGATGTGTCCTTAACTATTCTTAGTGTTACCCAAGTAGCTCATTGTAAAATTATTTTAGAAGTACCATCACTCAGACTTGATCACAGGGGACATGAAGCAGGTGTAAGAACGTGTGTAAGAGTCATCAGGAATGGTCCCACTTCTGAGGCAGGAACACAGCAAGCCATTACTGGGTTTCTTTTTTCTCTGGGGCTCACCAGTGTGATGCTAACTTAGATTACTACACCCAGACACCTGCCCTAACTTGCACAAGCCCAAGTCACTTTTCATACCTACACATTTAATTGGGTACTGAAATTAAACATACGAATAAAAAGAGGAATCCAAATAGAAGAGCCACAGTCCCTTTCCAATTAAGTTTAAAGATGTAATTTTACATTATTGCTATCAATGCCAACGCATCGCTTCATATTCTTTTCACTGATTGTTCCTATGGTCTGTTGCTTACAGAGATCCTTCTAATGGTTATTATCAAGGTAATAAAAAAAATCCAAAGTTGATTCCCCAGTGACCCTTGCTACTGGCCCTCCAGTAGCCCTCCTTAATCCTGAAAGCAACCACTAGATACACTCTCTGATCCCCTCCTCCCACGAACTTTGCCTAGCTCCTATTTCACAAATTACTATGGCCCATCTCATTGTAATGTCATACTCCTAAAACTCAAAATGTTCTGCAATGGGCCTCCCTCGTGGCTCAAGGGGTTGGACATCGCACTATGAAGCAGTCTGCAGCCTCTGCAGCATGAGTTCAATCCCCGGCCAGCCAGAGAGAAATCCACATGGTGAAGCAGACCTCTCCCATCTTGCCCGCTGCTCCCCTCAGCAGTGTATTTCAGTCAGTCTGCCTGTTTTGTTCCCCATTCTGTCTCTGGTGAATCCTCTCACCCCCCGCATCTCTGCCTGTACCCCAGCTCTTGTATGCATAAATAAATAAATCTTAAAAAAAAAAAAAAACCAGCAGATATAGAAGCTTTAAAAAAAAAAAGTTCTGCAAACTTCCAATTCCAGCAGAGAAAGTAGGTAGACTGATGGTATAGGCCCAAAGTGGACACTGAAATGCGCAAATACTACCATTTCTGCCTAGGGGACTGAAGTCAATAATCAAACATGGCCCGTAAGTGGAGAATTTAAAATGGAATTGGGAAAATAATGACTTATACAAGACCAGACGAGTATCAAAGAAGACATGATCAGCAGCCAGTGTAACTTAGGTACAATGGGAGTTGAGAACATTAAGTTAGCTTACAGGGTGCGAGATAAAGGGGTCAGGCTATGAGGAGATGACTTCCCAGATGTAAAATCCTGAAAGAAATGCACTATTTGCACCGGTGAAGAACTGACCATTTCAGGTATGGGGAGCAGCAGGAAAAGAGGTGTAGAGAGAGGAAGGAGCACTGCATGTGAAGTTGGGGTAGGCCCTGGCATGGCTGGGGCAGAGAACACATATTGGGGAGGTTGTGGGGAGAGGGGTACTGCCCCAGAAGAGGGGTGGTGGGGTTTAACTGCAGATGGCACAGTAACTTGGGTGGGTTTCTTCCTAGTATGCAACTTCTGGTGGTGAATGAAGCTGGCGTTCCATTTGAAGGCTTTTCCACACACTTTACATTCATAAGGTTTCTCGCCAGTGTGGACACGCTGATGCTGAACTAGGGTGATTTTCTGATTGAATGCCTTCCCACACTCCTGGCATGCATAAGGTTTCTCCCCAGTGTGGATTCTCTGATGTACTATAAAGTGTGAGCTACAACTGAAAGTTTTCCAACATTCATTACATTTATAGAGCTTTTCCCCAGTGTGGAACCTCTGGTGCTGAAGGAATGCCCAGCTCCGGTGGAAGGCCTTGCCGCACTCTTTACACTTGTAAGGTTTCTCCCCAGTGTGGATTCTCTGATGCCGAATCAGGACTGAATTCAAACTGAAACTTTTCCCACACTCCTTACATTCGTAGGGCTTCTCCCCAGTGTGCGTTCGCTCATGGATGATGCAGTCATAGCTGCACCTGAAAGACTTCCCACATTCCTTACACTGAAAGGGTTTCTCTCCAGTATGGATTCGCTGATGCAAAGTAAGTTTTGAATTATAGCTGAAGGTTTTTCCACAGTCCTTACATTCATAGGGCTTCTCTCCCCCATGTAGCTTTTGATGCTGCAGGAGGTGGCAATTTTGGCTGAAGGTCTGTCCACATTCCTGACATGAGTATGGTTTTTCCCTAGTGTGGATTTTCTGATGCCGTGACAGTTTTGAATTATATCTGAAGGCTTTCCCACATTCTTTACATTTGTAGGGTTTTTCATCAGTGTGAATTCTCTGGTGCTGGTGAAGGTCTGAATGTTGGTGGAAACATCTGCCACACTCACCGCATTTATAAAACACCTGTTCTCTAGAGAGGCGCCGCTTTGTAATGAGGTGTGTGCTGACATCACTGGCTCCTCCCAATTTCCTGGCTGTCTCCTCTTTTTCAACAGTGGAGGTTTTATGATCCCGGGCTGTCAGTTGAGTGAAATTTCCTTTCTTTGAGTTTGTTTTGTTCCCTGTGTCATACAGCTGCAGTTTCTCTGAGCTGTCCTTAAAGTCAGGGTGCACTCGCTCCACTATTAGTCTATCGGACTCAGATTCATTAGAAATGTTCAGCCTTGGAGTTTGCTCCTCATTCCTGGTCTTGGTTTTACCACCTAGCAAGAGAAAAAGAAAACACAAAAGTCATCTATTTACATTAGAAGCATTTCTAGCTTGCCCCGGACATAAGTATTTTCTGGAGAGAGACATATCCACCTGCCTGAAAGGTTAAAAAACCAAATGGAACTAGAGAAGACAAGCAGTACTATCAGTGCAGAGAGCAGAAGCTAATAACTGAAAACAGACAGACAAAGAAAAGCGGGAATGGGATGAAGTCACAGGTAGCAGAAGCGACGCAGCAAAGTAGAGGGAGCTAAATGAGAGGAAGGAGATCTCTACACTGAGGAAGAGAGGCCTTGGTAAGCAGCTCCAGATACATGACATTTCCATCACGATAGAAAGTTCCAGTGGACCATGCTGGTTTAAAGCCTTTGCAGGCTAAAGAGACATCATGCAGCTGCATCAAAGGGAAACACAGATAACTGCAGGTAGCCACTGGGAACGGCGATTCATCAAGTTGGCCTGAAGTGTTGGCGTCAACCTAAAGGCGCTGATTAAGACAAAAGCGCAGGTGAATTACAAAGGAACATTTGCTTTACAGAAGTTCTGAATAGCACAGGAATTAGGAGCTTCAAAAGAAGGTCAAATGAATAAGAAAGTCTATTTACCAAACCTCTGGATGGTTCTTTACAATTACCTCATTCAACATCTTTTTTTTTTTTTTAAGATTTTATTTATTTATACAAGAACCAGGGTACAGGCCAGATGCGCGGGAGGGTGAGAGGATTCACCAGAAACAGAGCAGGGAACAGAATAGGCAGACTGACGAAATACGCTGTGAGGGGAGCAGCAGGCGAGACAGGAGAGATCTGCTGCGCCATGTGAGACCCTCGCAGACCAGCTGGGATCGAACCAGCGCTACAGAAGCTGCGGACACCTTCACAGCACTGCGCTCAGCCACCTATGCCACCAGGGGAGGCCCTCAACATCTTTCAAATAAAGAAACCATTCATTCCCAGTAAATAAACAGGTTTCTTTTCAAAACTATTTAAAATTTACTATTTAGGAATTCATAAAAATTCTGTCCACATGTATGGTTTCACAAACTCCTACATGTACACACACACACACGCACACAATGTTCTTATAAAAACAAGTTCTTACTTTATGTTTATGTTCTTAAACTGACCATGAGAAGTCTCTACTCACTACAAAGCATTTTGAAATCCTTTAGCTTTACACAGAAAATGATACAATATCAAATGTTTGGACTGGTCTTTTCCAGTTTGGAGTTGAAGTGCTAGTGAGGGACACCTGAGTAAAAGTGACCTTCATCCCCACAACAGCTATATGTCTCAAAAAAAAAAAAAAAAAAAAAAATCCACCCTTTTTCTTGTTAAAATCATTAAGAGATAGGAGGAGGGAGAGCAGAGGAGGAAGGCGGCAGGTGCTCCTCTTACCCGTGCAGACGCTTTTCGGGGCCTCTCCCAACCCATGCATCCAGGGATCCAGGTCCCACAGTGCTTCCCCTTGCTCCAGCTGGAATACTAGATCTGGCTTTGGGATTGGAAAATCCGCTAAAGGAGAGAAAAGGAGCAAGAAGTTAAAAAGGGTTCCTGTTGACCCCTCTCAGTCCACCCTCAGTTTCACTAGGTGAAAAAAGGAGTGGGTGTCCTGGGAGTACAAGGACATTTGTCAGTCAGGTGGAGAGAATCTGGGGCTCTAAGGAAGGCTCAGGAGGAAGCTTATTCCAGCTCTGAGAGGACAGAGTTCCCATCATCTCTGGAAGGTGTACACACAGAACCTAAAGGATTCTCAAAGAAGAGATGGGGCCAAGGTCCCCTCCAAGGAACCAGAACAGTGGGTTACCAGGAATCTTCTAAATTCTCTGTGCACAGAGCAAAGTCCCTCTCAACAGACTCCCCACCAGGAAATAGGGAATATGGGAGTTTTATGTAAAGCCAAAGTGAACCCAGATCCTTTTCTATTAGCTACTGCTGAAACTGAGGAGTAGGGACCTCAATCAAGGAGCATCAATCCTAGTGGTATCAGAACTCCAAGATTTGCTAAGGGGGAAGCCAGGAGTCTCTGAGGCAGAAGATGCACTTCAGAGGGGAAAGAGAACTTACCCAGGGAAGCCACATTTGCATAATTCTCCAGCATCACCTCCCTGTACAGGGCCCTCTGTGCAAGGTCCAGGCTGGTCCATTGATTCTGGGTGAAGTACACAGCCACATCCTCAAAGGTCACTGACTCCTAAAACAGGAAGATTCTCCTCAAGTTCTGCATGGAGCAGGGGAAAGGAAAAAGGCAGGGAGGGAAGTGCAGAACTCCAGGAAGGGATCAATCCACTGGATTAATGACTCTGAGCCCCATGGAGGGCTTGGTCTGGCAAGAAGGGTCACACAGCACCCCTGTCAGGGGTAGCCCTCAGGCAACATTCCCATTTTCAGTGAGTATAACTCTGAGGCCCCACAGCTGTTCAGCCCAAGAACACAATGCAGCATCTGCTCTTGTCTGCCTGGTTACCACATCAACCCCATACCTAGTTCCATTAGCTGGCTCAGTCTTTCTGGCATATTTTCCTAAATGACCACAGCAGCGTCTTTCATCCTGCTTCTATCCAGCCTGAAGTCCCCCACCATTCAGCCACTTTGTAGTCTTCCACCTCTACATCATATACTATAGACAAAGGAACAATTCCTTGGGCACAGAGTTCCTTTCACCCTGGATAATTCTCCCTCTCTCTACCTTATGAAGTAGCTGATTATCCCTTGAAGGCAATGTACAGTAATATCTCCCTTACCTAAGGGAATTGATGACACTCTCTGCCCTTGAACAGACCTGTCCCCATCACCTAAGCTCTGTCAAAGCTGCAATGCTGTTCCCTTCAGCAGGTGCATCTCTTTCTCCTCCTGCTACAGCCACCTCCACCTTCTCAAGGAGAAGACCATCACAAGTTCTTTAGACCTCTGTGTCGTATCCTGTTTATCTGTTACTTTTATATCAGTTTCCTCAATCATTAGCACACATCTGTGATGTAAGAATTATCATTCCCAATTTTAAATGAATACATATTATTTTAGGAGAAATGTGTATTATGCCCCTTAATTTTACTTGGGACTATATCCAGTCCTGGCAACTAAGTGAGGCCTAATGAAATGTGGTATAAATACTGTCAGGGACTTCTGGAAGGTTCCTAAAAGAACTGAGAGATTCACCTTTTTTGAACTCCTCTCCTAGCTAGAATGCACACGATACCCGGGTATCGAGCAGATAAATTGGACCGTGAAATGGCCTTGAACTCAAGAGTTGGTGCCAGGATGGTAGAGCAGAAAGACAGAAAAGAGCCTGGATGCCTGAAAACAGTGGTGCTGCCACACTAGCCCAGATAGCCTCTCCCAGCCTTCTTTTGTATGAAAGAGAAGCCTCTAGCTTATTTACGACTCTGTCACTTAGGGTTTTCTTAGTAGATCCTAATCCTGAGTGACTACTACACTCCAGGCAAAGCACATGGAGAGAACAGATTGTGCTAATACTAAAACATTTCCTGACTTGGACTAAGTGCTCAAACAGAAGTGGGTGGTCCACAAAAAAGGGGCTACATACACACTGCTCTTCTGTCTCTAGGATGGAACTTTCTCATTTTATACCCATTACACGTGACACCACATGTTCTCATTGCATGATCTAGGAAGCTAGAGGAAAAAATCAGTAAAATTATCCTCTGCTGCCATGAAAAACTGAGGGGCAAGTGCTTCCAACATTCATGAATTTGTGCCAACTAAAGATACAGGTTGCCAGAGGTTGAGCTGCAGTCTGCACTGAGCTAGTATTTAGCTCCAAACTCAACATTCCTCCAAGAATCCACACCCTCGCTAGCCCACACTCGTCAAATGCTTCCAGTTTTGACTTTACTGTGCCCTAACTCTGTGCTTTGCAGAGCAAACTCCTCACATGAAAGTATGCATTTAATCTCAGGAGGTGGTCTTCCTCTGTGAATTGTAATGCTAATTACCACTCCCCAAATTTCAATTTACCCATTAATTCCCCAGATATTATACAAATATAGATTCTAATTCAGGAGATCTGGCATGGGACTGGGATTCTGCCTTTCAACAAGTTCCCTGCTGAAATTGAACCTGCTCATCTGTAGACTATACTTTCAGTTTGCATGATTCTCATTTTCTAAAAGAACTACTTAGTTGGTGTTTCCATCTTTTCCAACCAACCTGATCCTTCCACATTTACCCACTCTCCTTCATCAACTCCTCGAAAATGTTCCTTTCCCATACTCTATTGATGGCTGCAAAGCTAAACACAGGCCAAGTCAGGCTCCTGGTCCTTTCACAGCTGTTCTAAATATGGAAAGCTGGAAGACAGCTCAGCTCACCTGGGACCACGCAGTGTGGAGCATGGTTGATGGCCACTGCTTTACACACTGCCTTCTGTGTATGGCAAAGCAGAACCTGTGGAGCTAAGAGGAGAGAAAACCATGTGACTAACTCTGTCTTGTTTCCCATCACCTCTCCCTCAGCCTACTCGCCACTCTCATTGGAAACAGTTTTTCATAAGGGTATTGAGTAAGGGGTACATGGGATGCTGCAACTGCTCCCTTTGTACAGCCTTCAGATTTTCCTGGGAGGGCTGGAAATTCCTAGAAATATAATCATGACAAAGCCTAGGGGAACCAAAATGTTACAGTTGGTGGGTTCTCCCACATGCACCTACAACTGCAGTTGCAGGACAAGACTCAGATTCAGGGTTCAACAACAGTAGGGTTTATTTACAAAGGGGAGAGAGATGGCGAAATTGGGAGAAAGGAGTGTTAGAGGCTGGACCAAAAGCAAAGGTCTCAATAATGGTCACTCTCTGCTAAGGTGAAGATCTCTGCGAAGTGGCACCACAGCAGCCAGCAATGGCAATCTGTGTCAGGGGCAGGAACCACAGTTAAAGCTATGCTAGTAGTCATAAAGCCAACAGCAACCAGCTCTTTTAGGAACACCCAGCACAGGGCTTATGGTGTCACTTAGCAGGCAATGGCAGAGGCAGAGTCAGGTCAAGTCCACAAAGGCAGGAATGGTACAGCTCAGCAAAGCTCTTCCGGACATATCTGACAGCCTCTCCAACTGCCTCTTGAGCACCTCCTCAAATCCTCATCAACTCCCCAAACGCTCTCAAGATGGTTGGAGCCTGGCTTATTTACTTTCTAGGGTGCCTGCCTTTCAAACCTGACTGGTGCTTTTAGTTGGTTGGCACCCATGTGAGAGCTCCAATAAAGTCAGTCCATTTACAATCCAAACTATACGCATGAAGCAAGGTGGGTGGGGGGGTTGGGGAATGCACCAGTTGGGCTTCATAACTGCCAAGAGGGTGGGCACTCCGATCCCAGCTGTCTGATTGGTGCTGATCAACTTCCAATCAAATTTGTTCATTTCCAGCTATAGAAGGGAAAAACCCAGCCCCTGCCAGACAGGAGCTGCACTGAGACCAGGGCAGGCTCCTGGGCAGGAAGGCTCCAAGGAACCAAAGGCACTGAGGGCCTCATCTGAGCAGGAGGCAAACTGAATCCAATGTCCCTCAGTGGGGCTGAGTAATAAACCAGGGGCTCTGCTTCAGAAAGAGTATCAGTGCAGAACTGCAGTGAATTCATAGTTTTTAAGAAAATCCCCCAAAACAATACAAAAGAGAAGGAAGGAGGTAAGAATATAAAGCTCTGGCCCAGTATGACTGCATTACCAAGTAGCTTGTATTGGGTGTTTCTAGAGATCTGAAAGGGGGCGGGCAGCCCTGGACCAAATGTTTCAGGAGAAAGGCCAGCGGTGCTCTGGCCCGTGGGGAGAGCGTGAGTCGACGGGGGCCCGACCCGGATCTGAACACACCACCCTGGCACGGAGGCGACCCCCGACGTCACCGGCTCCCCCGCTGAGTACCGCGAGTCAGAGGCCGTTACTCCGCTTCTTCGGGGCGGGCGGGTCGCGCGCCTCGGGGCCGGGGGGCTGGGCCAGGGCTCCACGCGCTGCGGGCCCCGCCGGCGGGCGTCTGCCGGGCCCCAACGCGGAGCTCCGGGACTGCGAAGGCCGCGAAGGGAGCCGGGTCGCCGAGAGCTGGCGGCTAACCGCGGGCGCCGGAAGCCCGGAGGTGCAGGGCAAGGCGGAAGCGCGGGCGCCGGCGCTACCAGCGCCTCTCTAGGAAACCGGGAGGCTGGCCCTTCTCCATGGTTCCCGCGAGCCGGCCGTCTCCCGACGAGCCCCGCGTCTGGTATTACTCTTGTCTCCTTTCACCCCAAGTAAGCCATCTACTCCTCAAAGACAGGCGCTCGACATTACGGTTCTCGTGCTTCCTCAATGGAGAGAATGATAGTAGCGTCCAACTCGGCAGTTCCAAACTCAAATTCAAGGATTGAGTCAAAACACTTGTAACATTCTTAACAGTACCTAGCCCAGAATTACAGCCAAGTAGGAGCTCTGGAAGATGTTCTCCCAGGTTCTAAAGGAAAGTCATCTTGAATTTAGAACTACAGAGTTGAGGCATCAGAGAGATACAGGTGTACTATTGTGATGTAAGTTGTCCCCCACTCCTGGTACAAAGTTCCTAAAACTTACTTCATGAGTGATAGGGGCAGAGTGCTTTTTATGTCCGGTCTTGCCCAGTTCCTGACACAAAAAGCTAACATCCTTGGAAATCTCTGCAGTAGTATCTTGTATGTTGAGATGGGGGAACAGGGGCGGAACTCCTAGGTAGATTCAGGAAGGGGACTGATCACAAGGAACGATCATGTGATTGCAATCATGTAACTTAGTTGGCTTGGATGGACCACCGACAAGGTAAGGAACACACTTGTGCTCAGTATTACCTTCAATTGCCTGAAGACTATTCTCAATTTAGTCCAACAGCAAGAGCTAAGTTTATCACTGCATTTGAATACACCCAATGGCTTCTTGCCCACCCCCAGCTAACAAAGTAGCTGGCATCCTTATTCTCTAGCCAGTCCATCCTTCCCTTACACCATGTTTTCAAGTTGTAACTGAAGATGCCAGTTTCTCAGGACATTTTCCTACTCCAGATATTAGGACAGGAAATCCCAAATTGCTTATATTTCCTCTATCACTTGCCTATTAATAACACCAGGCAAAAATGAGTTTTGCCCCTATTATTTCAGCAAGAACTGGAAACTACCTTTTTAGTTAGAAATAAGGAACTTGACACTTTTGAAATCAACATACCATAGTAAATTCTGACTCGTTTTCTAATGTTTTCTGTTAAGAAACTTGCTAAAATTCAGTGCCCAAAAGTTACTGATGTAAGAAGAAAATGTAAAGCCCTAAAAGTAAAAATAAAAAGCTTGCTAAATCCTAAAATTGTTGGAAGTTGGGAATTAACATTTATGGGAAATAAACAAAAACTCCAATGATCACAATGTTCTAAGAGATCACTAACTAGTCATGACTTTGGACTATCTGGGCAGAGGGAGATTAAGAAATTCATCATCTGATGACATTAACACCACCACTACCAAGTGGGCCTCTGAATCCTTAGCTCAGCAACATACTTTCACCCACAGATTAAATATATTTGCCAACGGTTAAAAAGAACCTTTATTACTTTTATAATAGCCTTTTATGCTCTTATGCTTTCTTGCCAGATGCCTTTGGAGCAGGTGGTTTCTGGGCTGGAGCTTTCTGACCCTTCTGAGCTTTAGGAGGAGCAGTCTTCTGGCCCGCGGCTTTCGGGGCAGGAGCTTTCTGGGCTGGAGCCTTCTTGCCTGCAGCAGTCACCTTTTTTGCTGGAACCTTTGCAGCAGCTGCTGCAGCTGCACCCTTTGCAGCTAGTGCTTTTTTGGGAGAAGCTTTCAGAAGAGCAGCCTTTTGAAGCTTCTTAACTTCAAGCTTGATTATTCTGTTTCTCTGAAAAGTTTCAATGTAAGATGACGTTAATCATACATGCATCATAAAACCATTTGTCCAAGACCCCTATAAAGGCAACTTCAGTCTATGAAGCTTGGGCAAGCACTGATTTTTAGAGTTAGAATAGAACAATCACATTAATTTAAAAAAACTTACCATCTTCTTTGCCTTCATGACTTTGTAACGATCAAAATCTGTCATTTTGGCTTTCTGTAAATAAATTAATTGAATTAAAACAAAACCAAACAACTACCCCTCTTATACCACCTTCCAACCCTCCAAAAAAGGTCAAAACTAAAACTACCCCATCATTACCCTTTCTCTGGCTTCAATCTTCTTGGCCCATCTTGTGGCTGCCCATTTTTTATTAATATCTGCCTTCTCCCAGGCCTGCCGGACATACTTCTGGCGGGCACTGGAAAGAGCCAAGACCATAAATTAAGGAAATCACTTTCAAAGTCATAGAAATCCAAGGAGACAACTTATATCCTCTGAAAAGCACAACTCATAACCCCTCAAGTTGTTTATCTTATAGTCTCAAACACACATTTAGTAAGAAATACACACCAACCTACATGCTGAGTTTAAAAATCACCTCATGTATATAACATCAGTCTTGTGTAGTGGATCTATAAAATTTCCCTTTCATAAAGAATAAGGTAAAATTTAATCCTTAGGGCCAATGTTTTTACTGTATACAATAATGTTTAAAGATGGCCAAACATAAAATTCAATTAGTTATTTTGAAATTCAAATATCTCAAGTATCAAAACCCAGCATGCTTTAAAAAATAAATGAATAGTACATGCCAGAGCCCATGTTCCACTGCAATTTGTCACTGCTGCAAAGATAACTATAGCAACACATCAATGTCTTAGCATCCACAATATACCACCCATCTCTAGTGGCTGCCTCAATTCCTCCACCAGTTGTCATATTAAAATGATAAAATACTTGTGTGTTGTTTTGTGAAATATGTTAAACACCTAATAATTGACACATGCTAAAAGCTTAACTGAAGATTGCTAGTATTGGAAATTCCAAGTATTTCTGCCTTGGAACTTAAAAGTGACTAAAATGTTTACAAGACAGGGCCTCCCCGGTGGCGCAGTGGTTGAGCGCTGGGTTGCGAAGCTGCCCGCAGCCTCTGCAGTGCCGGTTCAATCCCTGGTTGCTCCCGGGCCACCAGAGGAGGGTCCCACATGGTGCGCAGACCTCTCCTGCCGCCCGCTGCTCCCCTCAGCAGTGTACTTCGGTCCTTCTGCCTGCTCTGCTCCCCACTCTGGCTCTGGTGAATTCTCTCACCCTCCCGCGCTTCTGACTGTACCCAGTGCTTGTATGTATGTATGTATAAATAAATAAATAAATAAATAAATCTTTAAAAAAAAAATGTTTACAAGACAACTCCTTAATTTTTGTTACATAAATCCTGAGACAAGGGGACAAAAAAAAGGAGGGGGCGGCAAATCTGTGAAAAGGCAAAGCCAGCTAACTACCAGAGTGGAAAAATAATCACAGAACATTTAATAAGTAAATAATGCCAGTCAACTTCTAGCTGTAAATGCCTCTTTTGAATGGCTCTTATTCTTTAGTACGTTCACTATATTCTCAAAGGAAAACAGCCAAAACATTTCTTTAATTAAACTAAGTAAACTTTTCTAGAATAAACAAGGGTGAGGGAGAGGTGCTGGTGGACAGTTACCTGTGTGGGAACTTGAGGATGAAGTCAGTGAGCTGCATGCATTTGAAAGGCATAGCCTGTCGCCTCACCTGCGTGCAGGGTCCATCAACCAAAGCCTAGAATATTTAAGATTAAGAATCTCAATGTAAACACAACAGCATGCAGATATCCCATGTCCTTTCAGAAACATCAAATCCCCATTTAAATGCATCTTTAAACTTTCACTATTTGCACACCATATACACCAACAATATGTGATTTACTTGATAATTGTGTCTTCAATCCTTACAATTTTATCAATCAACTTTATACCCACTCACAGGCTTTGGCGAACCCCTTAGCTTGTCATTCTCAAATGCAGATGACAGCAAACAAAAAGGCTTGTTATGGCTCCGGTTTTGTTCTAAATTCCGTTTAGATATCATAATTCACTTAAACCTCACTAATGCTTAAGCCCATTAGTTGAAAGTCCCGAAGGTTTCAATGACAGAGAACTACTCAAAACCAGTGGAACTTCTTCCAGCTACTCAAATCATGCTTTTAGCGTCTACTCTGCACTGCCTGTTTTCTTATTAGCAAAATAAAGCTACCACCCATGGTATTCTTTGCTTACAAGGCCAGGGGACAATCACCACCACCATGCATACCGTATACCATTCACTGCCACACGCAGTTGTGACATCCCTTACACTTACCCTATTCTGATCAATAACGTCTACAATCGCGACCAATTTCCCGGCATGAGGGCCAAAGGAGACGTAGGCCACACGGCCAACCTCCACGAAGCGCCTAAACACCTGAAATTGGAGTAGGGGAGTTAGAAAAGCAGGAAGATAAAACACTCTTTTATAAGGCTTTACAGCTTAAAGGATAAGTACAAAGAACCAGAATATTGAGGGAAACTTGCCCGATTATCATGGAATGACCTGGACGAAATCTGCAGAGGCCCTGGTGGCAAAAGCAGGGTTCCGGCCGGCCAATCCCAGCCCGATGTGGTCAGTGGTCAGGGGCCTGGGCCAGGCTACCAGCCGCCCCAGCCATTCAGGTCTGGCGGCCGAGGCGCGCCCGCGTGGCCCCAGACGCTCCCTGGCCCGCCGGGGCCTCCACGCGCTCCTTCGCCGCGCGACCGGGGAGCTTCGAAATCCCGCGCTCCGCCCGCCCGGGGATCCTCACCGCCCAGTACGTAAGACCCGCAGGGCGCCGTTACACTCCTCGGCTGCCCGGCCCAAGCGAAGGTAGAGCAGCATGGAGGGCAGACCCGGAGCCCGCCACAGCCAGACTCACCATCTTGGCGGCGCTCGGGCAGAAGAGAGACGGCACGCCCGACGGTGCGCATGTGTAGAAAGCAGTTCCGCCCCTACGCCCGACGTGGCGCCGACGTGGGTACTGATTGGTTGGGGTTAGGACGTGCGGGGTGTGCGTACGCATGCGCACTGGAAAACATGGCGGAGCTGCTCTGAGCTGTGTTGCTTTTCCGAGTTAGGGGAGAGTCAATGTGGTCTAAGTGTCCTGGGGACGGAGTTATAGGAAGGTCGTCTCATAGGACTTTAGGGTGAAGAGGAGCACAGACGTTATGCCTTCCATTGTAACTCCTCTTTCCTTATGGCTCCCTCCCTGCCGCTCCTTTTTTTTTCTTTTGATTTTTTTTCCACCCACTGCTTAGTAGTCTGTTTATCTAAATGCTATTGTTACTCGTGACTTAGTACTAGATTTTCTCTCTCCCTAAGTGACCACGGTAATTTATTCCCTGTATTTTGGTTTTTAATTCTGGTAATATTTGGATACCCTCATTGCGTATCAGCACCGTATTGCACCCACTACCAAATCATCCATCGTGTGCTTCCTTTCCTCATTTCCTACTGCCCCCACAGTAATTTTGTTGACCTTTTATTTTAAAGTAATTCAGAATTACAGAAAAGTCACAAAATGTGTACAAATAATTCCCACAAACGATTCACTTTATTCACCAAATGGCAATATTTCATTATTTAAATAGTAATATTCCACTGTGTATATAAACCACATCTTTATCTGCTCATCAGCAATTGGGCACTTGGGTTGTTTCCATAGCTTGGCTATGGTAAGTAGTGCTACAATGAATATAGGAGGGCATACAACCCTTCGGAATAGTGCTTTATATTGGTAGATACCAAGGAGAGGGATTGCTGGGTCATATGGCAGATAATTAGTAATGTTTTGAGAAATCACACATTTTCCTAGGAGATTAGACTAGTCTCCCCGCCAGCAATGTATGAGGATTCCTTCTCCCCTACACCTTCACCAAAATTTGTTTCTGGTCATTTTGATAGTTTGGCCATTGTCACATTTACACTGGTCTACTTAAACAGGCCAAACACATGTGTCTCCCCTGCCAGGAATGCTTTTCCCTCTGTTCCTACACATTGCATGGCAGTGCCAACTCATCCCTTGTATTATTTTCTACATATTTCTTCTAAGAGACCCACCACATGTAGAAAAAGACCAATCTCCTTCCTTTTCTAATGATAGCTCAGCTTTCTTTACTCTTTAGAGCTATTATAACTATTTGACTTACTTTTCTGCTCACCTAAGTTGTAGTTTTGTGCAAATTGGAGTAAGTGCCATAAGGGTAGTACCTTGGTCATCTTAGCCCAATGCCGAATCAGGGGCTCAATAAATGGATATTGCCTGGATTAGTATTTAGGCATCTTGTCTCAGAATTTAGAAAAGGAAAGGATATGAATACGAGTGTTTATAGCAGAATTTTTGTAGTAATAGCCCCATGCAGGAAACTACCCAATGACTCACAAACAAGAGAATGGATAGATGGAAGTCTATAGCAATCAATTCAATAGCAACTACAAATTTACATATACCCACTGAGTAAAATGTCAGACACAAAGAGCATATGCTGTGTTGATCTCATTTATTTAAAGTACAAACCAGGCAAACTAAACTGTGTTTCTCAGAGATAATGATCATGTTTACCCTTGGCACAGGGAGCTTTGGCTGGAATGGAAGAGAGCTTTTGAGCTGCTGGTGATATTTTATTTGTGTGTTGGCTACATGATTGTGTTCATCTTGTGAAAATTCAAAGCTCTACCCTTATAATTTGTGCATTTCTTTCCCCTAAATGTATGTTAACATAAAACAATTTTATTTTTTAATTGTAAACAGTGTTTTCTCACTCTATAACCGAGAATCTGATTTGCAGATCTGGGCATGGGAAAGAAACTGCATTTAAACATAAGTTCCCCTATATGTGTTTTGAACACACTCTGGATGATATCTGATTATGTCAGCCCTGTTGTAAGTCTGCCACGTGTTCATTTTTATCCCACTCTATAGGATAACATCCAACCCCCTAGTCTGGCATTCAAGGCTCTCTGTAACCTCTTCCAATGTCTCAGCTTTTTGTTTGTAGTCATTTTGTATCAGTCACCCTTATCCTGCTATAGGCAAAACACTACATGACATACACCTCAGTAACATCTTTAAAGACACATCACCCGAAGAGTGATAATGAAGGCAAGGATAAACAGCTGGGACTACATCTAATTAAAGAGCTTCTGTACAGCAAAAGAGACAGTACCAAAACAAAGAGACACCCCACTGATTGGGAGAACATTTTTGCACACAACACTAATGATAAAGGACTGATCACAAAAATCTACAAAGAGCTGTCAAAAAATGGGCAGACAAGCTAAAAAGAAACTTCTCCAAAGAGGAAATGCAAATGGCCAACAGGCATATGAAAAAATGTTCAACATCACTTGTAATCAGGGAAATGCAAATCAAAACTACAATGAGATAACATCTCACACCAGTGAGCATTGCACATATTAAAAAAACTAGCAACAACAAATGTTGGCGAGGATGTGGAGAAAAAGGAACTCTCCTGCACTGCTGGTGGGAGTGCAAACTGGTCCAACCACTATGGAAAGCTGTGTGGAGATTCCTCAACCTGCTGAAGATGGAGCTTCCATATGATTCAACAATTCCACTCCTAGGTATTTACCCAAAGGACACAGAAACATTAATTCAAAAGGACACCTGCACCCCTATGTTTATAGCAGCACTAGTTACAATAGCTAAGCTATGGAAACAACCCAAATGCCCAAAAATAGATGACTGGATCAAGAAGATGTGGTACATATACACCATGGAATATTACTCAGCAATCAAACAAGATAAACACATGCAATTTGCAGCAACATGGATGGAGCTGGAAGGGATCATGCTCAGAGAAATAAGCCAGAAAGAAAAAGAAAAATACCAGATGGTCTCACTCATAGCAGGAATTTAGAAAACCTAAATGAGGGACCAGGAAAAAAACTAATTATAATAAAGTAAAAATCAAAATCAACAAGCAACTATAAACCAGAGACACACTTCAGTGGGGGAGGAAGGAATAGGATCAAAACAAGGGAGATGGGAATTGTATAGGGACTATAACCAAAATGAAAATGCAAATATTGTGCAAAAATGAAAAATGATGTAAAAAATGTATAAATAAATAAATAGCATATGGGTCAAAATGCACATAGTAATTAACTCTCACCTGGGCATTTACAGCAAATAATCAGTTTCTAAAAAAAAAAAAAAAAAAAAATGGGCTATCGGTTCTGATTTTAGATTATAAAAGACTGTGGCCCATCTCTCTTCTCTCCCTCTTCTTTCTATTTGCTTGCTCTGATGAAGGTTGCTGCCATGGTGTGAGCCCCCCTCTGGAGAGGCCCACATGGCAAGAGAATGAGGGTACCCAGCTGGATAACTGAGACATTCAGTCCAATAGCCTGAAAGGAATGGAATCTGCTGGCAATCACCTGAGTGAAGTTGGAAGTGGATGGTTTCCCAGCAGAGTCCTGAGATGATTGTACCCCTCCCTGACTGACATCTTCACTGCAACCTATGAGGACCCCTGAGCCACCAGACTAAGCCATGTCTACATTCCTGACCCACAGAAACAATGAGATAATAAATGCTGTTGTTTGAAGTCACTGGATTTGGGGGCAATTTGTTAACATTGCGATAGATAACTCATACAGCTTCCTAGTTGGTTTCCCTCCTCTACTCTTAGCACACACAGTCTATGCTTCACAGACAGCAGAGGGATCCTTTCAAAACACAAGTCAGGGGAGAAGGGGCAAGAACAACTCCCGTAACAACCACAGCCAGCACGCTGCCACTGCATCCATGTCCAGTGCCTGTGTCTCACCTGTTGTGGCCACATACCCAAGAGAAAGGAGGATACTGAGAAGGATGCTGAGGGAGATGAAGCCATGGGAAAGGATGAATCACAGAGAAGACCCACTAGGTTATTTGCCAAACCTGTTCCTCTGAAGCCAGAGTTTTTTAAAGTCCAAAAAAGCTTTAAAGTCTAAAAAAGTCCATGCAAAGAAGGAGAGAAGGTACCCAGTGGAGAAAAGCATAAGGCAAAAATGGAATAAATGGGGCCTTCCTGGTGGCACAAAGGGTTAAGCACCGCACTATGAAGCAATCTGCAGCCTCTGCAGCATGAGTTCGATCCCCGGCCTGCCAGGGAGCAACCCACATGGCGAGGCAGACCTCTCCTGTCTCACCCACTGCTCCCCTCAGCAGTGTATTTCAGTCAGTCTGCCTATTCTGTTCCTCACTCAGTCTCTGGTGAATCCTCTCCCCCGCCCCCACCCCCTGCATCTCTGGCCTGTACCCCAGCTCTTGTATGCATAAATAAATAAATCTTTAAAAAAAAAAAAATGAAATAACTGTAGAAAATGGAGAGGCCAAAATAGACCAGGCCAGGAAAATAGAAGGTTCTGGAAATGACAATTTTTGATAACTGCATACTTTGGTGACTGTTTAGTTCAAAATACTATTTTTATCAAGTTTGATGAAAATACAGAATTTTACTTTTTTAAAGCTATGTTATTAACACAGAGAACTTCATTGTTGTTTCTTGGGAGGAAGGGTGATGACACTAATAGAAGGTCTCTGAAGCTGGGTTGACATGAGAGAGAAAAACTTTCCTAAAGCTGGAGACAATTTGGTTTGGAAAAGATAATAAAACACACGTCAGATCGTGACCCCTCCCTGCTCAGTGGCCTATGTGGTCCTTCCCATTCTGGTCTCCTATCACCTCTCTTTCCTCATCTCCTGTCACGCTCCACCTTGTTTATTTTCTTCCAGTCACACTGGTCTCCTTCTGTTCTAAGTTCCCACCTTAGAACCTACCTGTATGCTTGCTGCCCCCTCTTTGGGACAGTCTTCCCCAGACATTTGCCTGACTGCTCCCTTACCTCCTTCAAGTTTTTGCTCAGCCTCACCTTATCAGCACTGATTTAATGTCTAATGTGAAATAATTTACTGCATTTTACTTTTTTATTGTCTG